GCGCCGCTGGAGCCGCGCGTCAAGGGGGGGGGGTACTGTCACGGTTTCGGCCGAGGCTGCTCCTCCTCCTGGTTCGGGCAGGCTTCGGCGGTCGTCGTCCCCGGAGTACTAGCTGCCACCGATCTATGTTTCATGTTCGTTTGGTTTTGTCTTGATGTTGTACACCTGTGTCTTGTTAGTCCTCGTTAGTGTCCTATTTAGTTCTCGTTGTGTGTGTTTGTCTTTGTGTGTGATTGCTCTTCTGTTTTGTGTTGGAGCTACGTACTTCCCTCCAGTGTTTTGGAGAGGTTTTTCACACATGTTAGTGCGCCGGTTGTTTGACGCCTGTGTGCGCCGTTATTTCGCCTTCGGGCTTATTGTGCTTATTTTCTACGTGAATATTGCACTAAAGTCTTTTGGACTGAGCTTCTGCGTCCTGCGCTTGATTCATGCACAACACCCACCTTCAGCACCCCTTGACAGCCTGTCAATTAGCCCATGTCAGCTAAATTTTTTTACATTGCTACGTCAGTTTAGTGGCCAGCTATCTAAACTTGTTGTCACGGCTGAATTACTGGCAGGGGGGCCCCCATTGATTTTGTTAGTCAATCTCCGTCAGAAAACTGCAAACATTTCTGTCCACCCTATGGCAAAATGTGTAAAATTGCAGGAAATAAGCTAGCTAATTTTCCTCAAAGCCCCATTGCAAAATGAGTAGAATGTGGGTGCGCACACCCGCAAGGAACTACGGCCCCTCATGATGAGTTCTGTTTTTTAGTGTCCCTCACCCCCATTAAAGTTGCCCATCCCTGATCTGAAGGGACCTTCTAGTGGGGGATATAAAAAGAGAGTTAGAGAGGATGGGATGGTTGTGACTATCAGGTTGATGTATTGTGCTAGGTGAGGGATAGAAGACTGTCCATGAGCAGGGCACACAGATATGCAATATTCCATTCTACACACAATGCTATGTGGCCGGAGGGATCAATGACACCACTGGCTGTGTCTCAACAGTTTGAACTAGCATCCTTGTTTCCTTTCCTTGTGTTCTTCCCTCCATGATCACTGATCTGGCAGGACATGAGAGGTAGAATCAACATGGTGGAATACCCATCCAGTGTTTTGACATCAGTGATTATGAAGGGAAGCAGACGAGGAAATTAAGCTGGGAGAATAGAAAGAGAGATTTGACAGTAGTGAGCCATTGGGAGCAGGGAACATTGAGAGAAACTGACTGTGCTGTGATAGGAGAGAATGTGAGCGAAAGAGAGATATAATGGGAGAGAGAGATAGAGAGAGAGACTGACCGTGCTGGGAGCTCAGTAACAAGGTTGTGGCTGAGGTCCAGAACTTCTAGTTTCTTAATCTCACACAGCCACTCTGGGATGGCCTCCATACGATTCCTACAGAACGAGAGAGGGAGAGGGGGAGAGAGAGAGGTCAGGTTTGAGGAGGCTTTGTGAGTATGTTGGATTTAAGAGAGTTTGTGTATTTTCAGCAATGTTGAGTGTGTTTATACGAGGGCATTGGCCTCACCTGGAGATGTCCATGTAGGTGAGGTTGGAGGGCACTGGACTGACATCTAGCTCCTGTAGCTCTGTAGAAGAGAACACATACGAGAGCACTAAACCACCAATGTGTGTGACATAAATGGAACCAGATACTGTAGCTAGGTAGTGATAGAGAAATGCAGTGATGGAGATTAAGAATGACACAGGCTATAATGGAGAAATCCCAAATGCAGCAGGCATAGATGGGCTCCGGGGTGAAGTTTCCGCTATTTACAGATCTGGGATCAGCTTCAAACTCCCCCAATCCTAACCGTAATCATTGGTGTGGAAAATGCTAAACTGACCCAAGATCAGCGTCTAGGGGCAACTTCACCCTACACTATTACAAGCACAGCAAGCATAGATGAACTCAAACTGGGGAATCACCGTTGTTCTGTGCGTAGACAGCCTTGAGCATAGAGCCCTTGGCCTTGAGGGTGGCAATGTGGTTCCTCTCACAGTGGAGGACCTCCAGGCAGGGGAACAGGGAGATATCCAGCTCCTCCAGCCCGTTGTCACGCACGTCCAGCTGGGTCACGTGTCTCAGCAGGTCTGGTTCGTCTGGAACCACCACCCGGATCTTATTCAGCCTGATGGCACAGAGGTCAGAGGTTAGAGGTCTCATAACTGTACAGTAGGCAGTATGGCCCGTAGCATAATTAAACCTCCAGACGCAGACGTCAGATCAAAATCAATGTCTGTATGGATGGATATTTGATTGAGTTCTCAACTAAAGGAAATTCAATTTGAAATCAACTTTGATGGCCTGTTGTTGTTTTGTGGTTGACACCTGAGTTTAATTGAAATGAACACATTGTTTCAATATCTACAATCTCTAATAGATGGCCTGATATCTCATATAGGATGTGTGACTTAACAAAGGCGCTATCACTGTGTATTCACCATCAGGGTTACTCATTAACTGTTATACACTACCAGTCAAAAGTTTGGACACACCTACTCATTCAAGGGTTTTTCCTTATTTTTACAATTTTTTACATTGTAGAATAATAGTGAAGACATCAAAACTATGAAATGACACATATGGAACCATTTAGTAACCAAAAAAGTGTTAAACAAATCAAAATATATTTGATATTTGAGATTGTTCAAATAGCCACTCTTTGCCTTCATGACAGCTTTGCACACTCTTGGCATTCTCTCAACCAGCTTCATGAGGTAGTCACCTGGAATGCATTTCAATTAACAGGTGTGCCTTCTTAAAAGTTAATTTGTGGAATGTATTTCCTTCTTAATTCGTTTGAGCCAATCAGTTGTGTTGTGACAAGGTAGGGGGGGGGGGGGGGGTATACTGAACATACCCCTATTTGGTAAAAGACCAAGTCCATATTATGGCAAGAACAGCTCAAATAAGCAAAGAGAAACGACAGTCCATCATTACTTTAAGACATGAAGGTCAGTCAATACTGAATATTTCAAGAACTTTGAAAGTTTCTTCAAGTGCAGTCGCAAAAACCCTCAAGCGCCATGATGAAACTGGCTCTCATGAGGACCGCCACAGGAATGGAAGACCCAGAGTTACCTCTGCTGCAGAGGATAAGTTCATTAGAGTTACCAGCCTCAGAAATTGCAGCCCAAATAAATGCTCCACAGAGTTCAAGTTACAGACACATCTCAACATCAACTGTTCAGAGGGGATTGTGTGAATCAGGCCTTCATGGTCGAATTGCTGCAAAGACACCACTACTAAAGGCCACCAGTAAGAAGAAGAGACCTGCTTGGGCCAAGAAACACGAGCAATGGACATTAGACCGGTGGAAATGTTTTCCTTTGATCTGGAGTCCAAATTTGAGATTTTTGGTTCAAACCGCCATGTCTTTGTGAGACTCGGTGTGGGTCAACGGATTATCTCTGCATGTGTAGTTCCCACCGTAAAGCATGGAGGAGGAGGTGTTATGGTGTGGGGGTGCTTTGCTGGTGACACTGCCTGTGATTTATTTAGAATTCAAGGCACAATTAACTAGCATGGCTACCACAGCATTCTGCAGCGATATGCCATCCCATCTGGTTTGGGCTTAGTGGGACTATAATTTGTTTTTCAACAGCACAATGACCCAACACACCTCCAGGCTGTGTAAGGGCTATTTTACCAAGAAGGACAGTGATGGAGTGCTCCATCAGATGACCTTGCCTCCACAATCCCCCGACCTCAACCAAATTGAGATGGTTTGGGATGAGTGAAGGAAAAGCAGCCAACAAGTGCTCAGCATATGTGGGAACTCCTTCAAGACTGTTGGAAAAGCATTCCAGGTGAAGCTGGTTGAGAGAATGCCAAGAGTGTGCAAAGCTGTCATCAAGGCAAAGGGTGGCTGTTTGAAGAAATACAAATATTAAATATATTTTGATTTGTTTAACACCTTTTTGGTTACTACATGATTCCACATGTGTTATTTCATAGTTTTGATGTCTTCACTATTATTCTACAATGTAAAGAATTGTAAAAGATAAAGGAAAAACACTTGAATGAGTAGGTGTGTCCAAACCTTTGACTGGTACTGTAGGTGCCAGCTGACCTGACACTTGGCACATTTATACATTTCTGTACAAGACTGGAAAAAGCTGCACCCACCGACAAAAATAACAGAACAGACCACACCTCACCATCATCATCTCGATCTACACTCATGTGTGATCTTTGGTCCTGAGCTTGAGAACATGATGTAGAGGCACTTCAGTTATTATCTCCCAACACTGTGAGGAGTGATGTATTAACTAGACAAATAATGCTAAGTCACTCAAGGTCTGCTCTTTGCCAAGCAGGAGGGAGAACACCGCTATAGTAATCATTACGAGACTTTCCAAGCTGACTCTCTGTTTAGCCTGGTTACAAGCTAACGGTCTGTTTAGCCTGGTTCTGTTCCATACTGACTGTCTGTTTAGCCTGATTCTGTGAGATCATCTGATCCTAGATCTGTGGTTAAAGGCAACATGTACCTTGACCTCTGTGTCTTTGCCTGTTTAGCCTGGTTCTGTTCCATGCTGACTGTCTGTTTAGTCCGGTTCTGTCCCATACTGATTGTCTGTTTAGCCTGGTTCTGTTTCATACTGACTGTCTGTTTAGCCTGGTTCTGTTTCATACTGACTGTCTGTTTAGTCTGGTTCTGTTTCATACTGACTGTCTGTTTAGTCCGGTTCTGTCCCATACTGATTGTCTGTTAAGCCTGGTTCTGTTTCATACTGACTGTCTGTTTAGCCTGGTTCTGTTTCATACTGACTGTCTGTTTAGCCTGGTTCTGTTCCATGCTGACTGTCTGTTTAGCCTGGTTCTGTTTCATACTGACTGTCTGTTTAGCCTGGTTCTGTTTCATACTGACTGTCTGTTTAGCCTGGTTCTGTTCCATGCTGACTGTCTGTTTAGCCTGGTTCTGTTTCATACTGACTGTCTGTTTAGCCTGGTTCTGTTTCATACTGACTGTCTGTTTAGCCTGGTTCTGTTTCATACTGACTGTCTGTTTAGCCTGGTTCTGTTCCATACTGACTGTCTGTTTAGCCTGGTTCTGTTTCATACTGACTGTCTGTTTAGCCTGGTTCTGTTTCATACTGACTGTCTGTTTAGCCTGGTTCTGTTTCATACTGACTGTCTGTTTAGCCTGGTTCTGTTTCATACTGACTGTCTGTTTAGCCTGGTTCTGTTTCATACTGACTGTCTGTTTAGCCTGGTTCTGTTTCATACTGACTGTCTGTTTAGCCTGGTTCTGTTCCATGCTGACTGTCTGTTTAGTCTGGTTCTCGACTCATACAGTATAGTTTCCTCTCATTGTTTGAGTTTTGCAATAGAGAGATACTGTAACTCCGGTCAAACGTGTCTAGACATGGATGGGTTTATAAGCATTGTGTGATTGGATTGTAACCAAAATCAGATTAAATATTTCCCACCAGATGTTTAGACGTGATTTCGGCTAGGTGTACATTGTGATCAGATCATAAGAATGGACGAAAGGCTTGGTGTTTATCTTGTGACCACGTCTCCATGCATCTGCCATAACTGTACATGCAGTGGGGAAAAATGGGACACCAGATGGTTTGGGCTGGGTGCAAAGCCTGTTACCTACTTGTTATGAGGATACACTGTGACTGGAGATAGGATCTGAATAAAGAGTGTCTCTATCTAGCCGCATACCGTAGGTCGACATGTTTGAACCGGAGCAGTCTGAAGCTCTGCAGCACCAGTGTGTCCAGGCTGTTTCCAGCCATACACAGTCTCTCCATGGAGGTCAGCCGCTCCAGCACCTGGGGCACGTGGGTAAACTGGTTGAAGGACAGGCCCAGGTAGCCCAGTCTCTGGAGAGAGCCCAGCTCACTGGGTAACTCACTCAGACAGTTACCGTCCAGGAGAAACGTCTGCAGACTGAAGAGAGGGAGAGAGAAAGAGAGAGAGAGAGAGAGAGAGAGAGAGAGAGAGAGAGAGAGAGAGAGAGAGAGAGAGAGAGAAGAGAGAGAGAGAAGAGAGATGGGAGGGAGAGCATCATGTGAGTAGACAGCACTTTAACGTGTGAAAAACGTTTAGGAGCACCAGAAAGTAATAATATATTACTTTATTTGATTGCATATAGCCTCTATTAGGCTTAGACTGTATGAATTCAAGCTACTTTTGAAGCACATGTTGTACCCTAGAATCGAATATGTAATCCCGTAAAGACATTTGTGTATTATAAAAAGCTCACATTTTTATAACACTGTCTCTTTAAGAAAGTCAAGTTTGTGAGTGACAATATCTAAGAGATCTGTCATTCATTCATTTGCTATGACAGAGAGGAAGAGGCAAAGCGAGAGGTTTTACTCTGCCCAAAATCTGTCCATGAAAACAAGTCCACGAAGTGAGGAATTTTTGTATGGAGGTCAATGAGTGTCGAATTTTGTGAAGCAGAAATGTAATTGCTCATTTTCTATGTGAACCATATTTGATCAAATAGAAGTTTCGTAATGGTTAGGTTGTTACGAATGCACTGATATAAGGGGATGCACGTGGCATTTCAGAAACTTTTAAAAAACGACTTTATATCCGAGTTGTGCTGGTTGTTCACATGTGTATCTGCCCTCTCATTGGCTAGAATGGTCCCACGGGATCTCGCCTCCTCCCACCTGCCTTCTAACTTTGAGGACATGTATTTTCATAGTCACATGACTATCTTGTCAATATAATAGAACATATTTGGCTATGATATGATGATTGGTCTCCTGAAGAAGCTATCCGCACAGACTTTCTAAACCCAAAGGCGCAACATCGTGAGACTTCTAGGAACGCTTGCGAAACAGACCAAGCAGACCAGGCTGGAGTTTGGGGTTTGAGAAGTCAATGAGAGAAGTGAAAAATTATTCCTTAGTTGTTAATTTTCTCGAAATCTAAAGGCCTAGATTTGAGCCGATGTCTTAAGTAGTAGAACATGTTATTACTCCAAACTGACACGTTTTCATTTTCTTTAAAAACTCCTTAACATCGAAGGAGTGCCTTTGATTTGCCGGCCTGCACATGCGCAGTTCAGCACGAGACGACCGTTTAGGGCTGTCCCCGACTAAAAATGTTTTTAGTTGACCGAGAATCGTCTGTTCTTTTGACCAATCGATTGGTCAAAATTTTCAAATGTGTATTTTTCCATATATAGACACATCCAATGTGTTTCAATCAAATCAACTAAATGCACTGAGCTTGTCTGATGCTTTAAGCACACTGTTTGATGAAATAATTAAGACCCACAAATGACTAGAGGGAGTCCAACCACAATTGATTTGATTGTGCCGGGCCGCGCTCAGACTTGCTGCGCTGTGTTAATTTTTTTTTATACAGAGAGTGACTATGTGACTAGCACCTGTTGTCTCTCTCTCCTCCATGCTGCAGCGACCACCACAGAACATCAACAGTGTTCATCGCGCTGTCCGTCATGAATGACTTGTATGCTGTGTGATGACATGAACAAATTAATGATTGATTGATACAGTAGCCTATATAGCTATTGAAATATAGGCCTAAGAGTAAGTTACGGTATTAAGACTAAACAGGATGCGCTCTTAGGCCTACAGCTCAATGGTGATTATACAAGGCTGCTATACTAAGCCTACTAATTATAATGACATTACTTATTTTTATCATGTGGATCATAATAATAATAACAATAAGGAGATCAAGAAAAAGGAGGGTTATTATTATTATTGGGAACAGTGTAAACAACACTAAAGAAACTATAAATAATACCAGAGAGGCTGTTCTAACAAAAAATTTGTAAAGTCTTTATTACAGTATAGTAAAGATTAAAAAACGAATTTGTTAATTAGTTTATCCGACATGTTGTGCTTGCAAGAGGCTAGGTGCTCACTGAATCAGTAGGCTTTTAAACAAACATTCAAACAGGCAACAGAAGCAGGATCTGTCTTATTTCTGTAGATACAGTTGAAGTCGGAAATTTACATCCACTTAGTTTGGAGTCATTAAAACTCGTTTTTTCAACCACTCCACATATTTATTGTTAACAAACTATAGTTTTGGCAAGTCGGTTAGGACATCTACTTTGGCCATAATAACCATTGTTATGTTTGCAGGAAAAGGGGGGGGGGGGGGGCTTGCAAGCCGAAGAACACCATCCCAACCGTGAATCACGGGGGTGGCAGCATCATGCTGTGGGGGTGCTTTGCTGCAGGAGGGACTGGTGCACTTCACAAAATAGATGGCATCATGAGGAAGGAAAAATATGTGGACATATTGAAGCAACATCTCAAGACATCAGTCAGGAAGTTAAAGCTTGGTCGCAAATGGGTCTTCCAAATGGACAATGACCCCAAGCATACTTCCAAAGTTGTGGCAAAATGGCTTAAGGACAACAAAGTAAAGGTATTGGAGTGGCCATCACAAAGCCCTGACCTCAATCCTATAGAACATTTGTGGGCAGAACTGAAAAAGCGTGTGCTAGCAACTCAGTTACACCAGCTCTGTCAGGAGGAATGGGCCAAAATTCATCCAACTTATTGTGGGAAGCTTGTGGAAGGCTACCCGAAACGTTTGACCCAAGTTAAACAATTTAAAGGCAATGCTACCAAATACTAATTGAGTGTATATAAACTTCTGACCCTGGGAATGTGATGAAAGAAATAAAACCTGAAATAAATCATTCTCTCTACTATTATTCTGACATTTCACATTCTTAAAATAAAGTGGTGATCCTAACTGACCTAAGACAGGGAATTTTTACTAGGATTAAATGTCAGGAATTGTGAAAAACTGAGTTTAAATGTATTTGGCTAAGGTGTATGTAAACTTCCAACTTCAACTGTATCTATGGATGATTTATAAAGCCAGGCACATTTCACAGTTAGGCTATTGATTTTAGACCTAATTAAAGTTGGTTTCCTCACTCCTCACTTTTCTTAGACAATTAAGGCAAGGGCTGTTTTCTCGTCTCCTAACTCTGCTACTGCCTCCGCCGCATTGTTCTCAACACTAATATGCAGGTTAACTTTGCTATTATGCACATAGCAACATGGTCTAGGAAAAGGCGCCAATTCAACAGCACACTGTGTTTCAGAACCGCGGACAGCCACCACAATTTGTTATAAAATAATATCATTTTTATTAGTGTTGCAGCATTGCTCTTATGTAATATAACCACATACAATTTCAGTAGCACATGTCTTAGAGTGATGGACTGTGCCACCCCCACATACATTTCATTTAATCCAAACTGCTCACGTGCATCAACGAGCGTTTACGTCGCCAGGGGCTCAAACAGAACCATCTCTTCATTGGTTTTTAGGAGCATATACCCACGTGGGTGATTGAAAGAGGAACTGAGGTCCACAGTCCAGTTGGTGGCAGTATTGCACCTTAAAGTTGGTTGCCAACTGCCATCTAAAGTCCACAGAAGAAGAAGAAGCCTAAGAGATTACTAGAAACTAACTAGGTTTCACCTTTTATCTGTGGATTATTTGTCGGAGTAGAGAACACACGATTTTGTGTGATTCAAAATGGGTAAAGATTCTACAAAGATCCAGAATAAAAGGACATTGTGCATTTCAAGTAAAATAACAACCCAATGTTTATATCCCAGGTCAAATTAGCTAGCAACAGCAAGCTAGCTAGCTAAATGTCTATGAATGTTTCATATGTGTTTCGACCTGTCCCCAAATTAATATAGTTGGTTCAGAGATTGTTTTGATATTTCAACATGCGTGTCCTGATCGCATCTGGTGTGGATGGACAAAATCAACATGTAAATGGGGTCAGCCCTATGCCTATTAGACCCGATGACGTGTTTCTACGCATGCGCTTAGCTAGCCAACGTCGCCATGACATCGCCTACAAGCGTTATCAGGGATTTCTATTGGAGAAGCAGTTTCTGCCTATCTTCATAATGTACTGTCTTTGCTATCACTTTTCCTTTCTTTCTGTGCCCCCACATGTTTGGATGTACTGGTAAAGTAACCAGGTTGTTAACTAGGAAGCTAATGAAGTAACATGACTGAACAAGGTGTAAACGAATGCCCACGAGTAGTTTTAGAATGGCCCGCAACATGGTTTATGAATGTAAAATGGGGCCCAACAATCCACTGACTATAGGAAGAAAAAAACATTGTGCTGGTAATATGGGTCATATCTTTTGAAATGTTTGGGCTAGAAACAATCAGTTTTCTCAGTGGTAATGGTGCAGCCGTCAAAGTAAAAAAATTATTTTCATCTCTAGGGCACTCTGGAACAACGGTACAGCGAAGCCTAATCATTACAACAATTATTATATGGGTAAAATACAGTTTTGCCGCACTGGTGCTCCCAAAATGTCAGGCCGCACAGCAAAATATATAGGATTATATACAAATCAGTTCTGATTTTTCGGACATTTCTCTGTTCTTTCAAGAATCCCTGTCCAATGCATGGTGATCAAGTACAATCAAAAGAGCTTAATTACAAACAGTTAATTCCCTTTTGAACAACGTTCCTCACCACATTCGGATACTAAGGCCGATCTCGCTATAGCCGGTAGGTGGCAGCATTAGCATTGAGGCTGAGAGGGCTTACTGGGGAAGCCACAGGCTTATTCCAGATCCTTCCATATGAGAGGAGAGGAGCTCAGCTATGCTGCTGCTGAGAGGGAGCACGCATCACCTTATTACAGTTTCTCTCTTCTGTCCTAGATTAACGCCCCACTCTGAACTACTATCACTTTTCCTCTGTCAGATCATCAGACGATAACATCTTAAATATTTAATGTATTTCATATATTCATGACATTTCAGATAGCCTCCTAACACTGATACAGGGTCAGATATTCTGTCCTCTTCTTTATGTTGGAGGTTAGGGTTGGGGGTGGGGTCATCTGAACCTAGAACTGTGGTTAAGGGTGACATCTACCTCGACCTCTCTGTGTCTGTATAGTCCCTCTGACCCCTTGTATGTGTCCCAAATATCACCCTATGAAGTTCACTACTATGAATTGCACTACTTTTCAATAGGGTACCATGGGAAGCAGCCTGTGTCTCTGTACATGCCCCCTAGACACTTCCTGCTTCTTACTTGGTCATGGATCCCACAGCTTGGTCCACATTGGTCAGGTAGTTACAGCTGAGGTTGACCTCGATGAGGGTGGAGATGTCACAGATGGCCATGGGGAACTGACCCAGCTGGTTATTAGACAAGTTGAGGCTACGCAAACGAGAGAACCTGTCAGAAAGAGAGAGCGAGAGAAGGGTGGGGGTGAGAGAAGAGAGAGAGAGAAGAGAGAGAGAGAGAGAGAGAGAGAGAGAGAGAGAGAGAGATAGTGGGTAGAGAAAGATAGAAGAGAGAGTCAGTGGTCTGACTCAATGTCAGTGGTCTGACTCAACAGTTGAAAAGAAAATACAAACAGAACCTTCAGCACATCATAGTGGAAACCTTCATATTGTCATGTTGAGAAAACAAGCAGAGTGTGTGTTGTCAGTAGCAACATCAAAGGCAAGTGGCATTTGGCTTTGTGTCCTATAGTACATCAGTGACCTTCAGTCAAGTCATCCCTAGGGGAAAGGGGACAGGGGATGGGGGGAGGGTACATAACCCACCCCTCATGGGCCGTTTGCCATGTTAGCATCAAAGCTGATAACCTCACAGACAAGTCTGCTGCCTTTTAGTCTGGTAATGCTTTGAATTGCTCACACACTCACAAACAAATACACACACACACACACACACGCTCACAGGCAGGCAGGCACACCCTTCATCATTTGTTAGGAAGAAAAGGGAAGCTAGATGTCAGGGGTACTGATTTACATGGTCATTTAATTCCAGCTGAGGGAAGCGTCCTCCTGGAGGACCTGAATGAGACCAGGAGGCTGGGACAGAGAGAGAGAGAGGGAGAGAGAGAGAGAAAGGGAGCTAGGAGAGAGAGAGGAGGGACACTATCTGTGTTGTCATCTAACACCATCTATTTTCATTACTTCATCACCACCATTCTGCTCTCTCTCTCTCCCTCCCTCCCTCTCTCTCCCCCTCTCCCTTTCTCCATCGTTCTCTCTCTCGTTCTCTCTCTCAAATATGGGTGATCCCTACTAATGTATATGCCATACTCATTAGTACCCAACATTGTCTGTGTCTGATGACCAGCAGGGATGCTCTGTAGCAATTAAACCCTCATACATAAACAACCACATATCTTTTTAGCTCCAAACTAGCAGCTTTTCATCTGTCATGTCTGTCTTTTAAATGGTAATTATCCCCAGAATATGCAACAGCAGATAATTATGATATGCCAGAGCCTCGTTTAATCTTTAACCTGTTGATCCTGGCACATACAGATGTTCTCTCTTAATTTGATCACTCCGTTGTCACAGAGAAATTTCCTGCACAGCAGGAAATGCAAACTATTTAAGGTTTAAAAAGGCTTCTAAAGTTTGTAATTTCCACTTAAAAATGTCAGACTTTATTTGCCCTAACTAAAAATGTATCAACCCCTACAAAAATTATAATAATTATAATCCACATAATAATTCACATTTCCTTGCTGCAAGATTATTTTCCTCCTGTGAGAACAAATCTGTATTCACAGAGTCGGAAGGGCACATGCACACACTACTCTAATCTGCAATGATCAAACAAAAACCCACTGTTTAAAGATTCTCCATGCCCCAATTCTGCAGGCTTCATCCAACCTCACTGTCTCTTTCATACACGCACACACACACTCTTTCTGTCTCACACACACAACCCAATATACTCTCTCTCACACACATACAATGCCCCACTCTGCTCCTCTCTCATAGAGTACAAGGATACAAACATACACTTGTACGTGCAGTTAAATGGCTAATCATCTTCTGGCTAGCATCCTAAGACAGGCTGTGACTTGTGTGCGCACGAACACACACACACACACACACACACACACACACACACACACACACACACACACACACACACACACACATTGCACAGTACGTCTTTCTGTGTGCTTTAATCTGGAACTAGCAACTCTGACGTGTCCGCAACAACCGAACGTTCCAGTTTTCAGGGGAAATGGAAAAGGAGCCTGTGACTCGACTTCGGCTTTTGGACGTTAACAAGGAGACACTCCATCTTAACTCCTCCTTCACATTTACTGGATTGGTTGAACAGTGCAGAAGAGGACCTCCCCAGAATAAAACATTTTCTTCACGTCAAGACCAGTATGTAGGGGATCTAGTTTCAGGTGTTTCCTTTACGTCTGCTACGTTAGGTTAATCTGGGGCCAGATGGTGCCCACTGAGCAGTACTGAGAGGGAGAGTGAAGGAGGGAGGCAGGCCATATTAAAAGCCTCCCTGCAGAGGCAGACAGGTCTGGGCTACTCTACTAGACAGGCAAACCCAACTAGGCCCTGTCCTGTCCTGTCCTTCCCAACTCAGTCTGTCTGTCTGACCAACCCAGCTCAGGCCAGCCTTATCCTGCCCAGCTCCACTATGCCTTGTGCTAAGCAGCTCAAGTCTGCCCAACCCAAGCCAACTGACACTTCCCTGCTAACTGAATTACATTACCCTATTCATTCATCTTAAGCCCAGCACTATTCTGCCAATTCCATTCCAATCTAGGCTAGTCCAGTCTAGTCCAGCTCCAGCCCTACCTTATTGTGGCCCAGCCAAACCATGCTATATCCAGATCTGTCCAGGCAGTGCAACCTTACCAGGCCAAGCCCAGCCTCCCCTATCCTTTTTTTGAGACCCATCCCATATAATTCCAGCCCAGCCCTTTCCCCTGGATCGTACCACCTACCTCTGTAGCTGGTGTAGACGGTGGTCTGTTGGGAGGAAGTTGTGTTTGAGGTTGAGGTGGGTGAGGTCCTGGCTGTAGAAGAGGTTGGGAGGCAGCTGCTCCAGACTGCAGCAGGACAAGTCCACAGAGTTGATCCTCTGGGATACCATCTGAACCAGCGGGGGAGGGGAGGGAAAGAAAGGGAAACCTGGTGTCAAACATGATTATCTCGACTCTGCTGGGATGTGTGTGTGTGTGTGTGTGTGTGTGTGTGTGTGTGTGTGTGTGTGGCCTAGCATGACCTAGGCTTGTAAACAGGTAATCTCCAGGTCAAGCTTTTTAAAATTAGAAAGTTAGGAAGTCAACCGTGAGTGAGACAGGACAGAACAGGCCACATACTATCTACTGTACATCTACTGCTATCTGTCATACTAGCCAGTCCTACACCAACTGAACACTTAGTCCAGTTCCACTATACTCCTCTTACCTCTGTACTCTACAATACTCCCCTTACTGAACATAATTAACTAGCTACTCTACAGTCTGTGATTTGTGCTCGTGCCACACCTCCTCCTAGTCCCAGGTTCTATTCTGAGTGTTCCCCTGGGCTTCCATGACACGCTCGTCCCTGATAATATTTAGAATATTTGGCCTATATCACTTTGGATGAGGGAGAGGAGAGATCATAGGAGAGTGTGTGTTAGAGAGAGAGAGAGAGAGAGAGAGAGAGAGAGAGAGAGGAGAAAGAAAGAAAAGAAGAGAGAGAGAGAGAGAGAGAGAGAGAGAGAGAGAGAGAGAGAGAGAAAAGAGAGAGAGAGCATGTGTGTTACACCTCTGGAAGCTATTGTGCCACTTATATTGTGCCACTCAGAGCTGTACTCCTCTGCACACTGTACGAATGTACCTTGGCTGCGTGTCTGTGCCAGCGCAGGTGTTCAGTGAAGCTGTCAAAGCTGACATAGTATGTCTGGCTCTGGGGCCCTGCTGAGCTGAACGCCAGGGAGTGGCTGTGCTTCTTCACCTCCTCCACCTACAGACACACACACACACACACCGTTAGGGCAAGACACAATATACACACCTTCAGAGTAAGACATACACTCAATGTAAGATAAACAGAAGATAAACAGACATTTGTATAAGCATTGGCTGAAAACAAATAGCGAGTTAGACAAGACATAAGACAACATACACACCTTTAGGGTTAGACACACAAGATAAACACACCTTTAGGGTTAGACACACAAGATAAACACACCTTTAGGGTTAGACACACAAGATAAACACATCTTTAGGGTTAGACACACAAGATAAACACATCTTTAGGGCCACTGACTGAACAAATATCTCTGGCATAACAAAAACACACACACAAACACCCACACTTTCAGGTAGAGATAATTTGTGTGACTATTTGTGTGACTGTTCTTGTCTATCAGTGTACCAGTGTTTTGTTACTTCTGTGTGTTTTTGTGGACCCCAGGAAGAGTAGCTGCTGTTTCGGCAAAAGCTAATGGGGATCTGAATAAACCAATAAAACCAATAATAACCCAGGGACTTTTCAGTAGACAAGACCAGACAATCACTATTTTTGAATATCTTCTACGTTACAGATCATGGTTCAGTTTAGCAGCAGAGAATATGATGTTCATATTAGATATGTTCATAGGCTGTAATTTCCCATCAAGCGTAACTATAGACACACACAAACATGTATGCACATGCAGACAGGATTATAATTGCATGCGCAAACACACGCATACATGCACTCATGCACACACACACTGTGGAGGTGAATGGTGATCTAGAGGTCGTGTCTTGTGCATGACATGATGGTTGAGCTGTGGATGTGGTGGGATGAGGAGTCCCAGTCCCTTGTATAGCTAGCTACAGTGTGAGGCAGGCTGATAGAAAGATCATTTCAGGAGGGCCCTTAGAGCTTATTCAATGGCCCTGTCTATCCTTCCCTGCTGCGATATCTAGCCATAAAGCCATAAAGGGATAACAGTCATTAACCAAAGGCTCACTCCCTAACTCCCTTTTTGGAATGAGAAATGCCAAGCCAGAAAATGTATTTATAGGGATCCGGCCTAAACTAGGACTTTTAAATTGGAAGACAAGGTGAATAAAGGCTGAGAACCCATTCATGGTATAGAGTACTTCATCATAGTGGGAAAGCAGATCAGAAATAAGTTGTTGGAAGAGTTAACATTGATTTGCAATGATGGCTTATTGGCCCTTCACCAGGATTCTGTCCCTGAGTCGATTAAAGACTGTTGATTTATCTCTATGATTGCACCCGGATGAGACAGAGTCAAGAATGAAGACAAATGGAAATGGAATAGTAAAGCTGGTGATGTCACAGTAAAGGGAGGTTTGTTGAAACTTTGTGATTCTGCTTCCTGGAATGGGTACATTCAAATTAGCTGCCAGGCCACCCGTCACAGAAAATTGACTTGAATGGGTATGTCTATCCTAGTCATTCTATTTCTATGGTGTCAGTAACAGCAGTCCCGTGTCTTACTGTACCTTTCCTCCAATGAGGGGTAGGATGTGCATCTTGCCCATGTGGCTATCTTTGACGGAGGAGACGATGAGGCAGGTGCCACACAGGATGACCTGGCGCCTGGTCCACCGATTGACTGGCAGCTGGAGTTTCCCTTTGCGGACGTTATAGGTCCCCGACAGCTGCACTCGCTCCGAGCTCTCGATGCTGTGGGGCTTCCCTGGAACACACACAAGGAGAAAGGAGTTAGCATAGTTAGCATCCAGCTAACTTAACACACAGGTGAGGGGGATACAGTTATCATTGTTAGCATCCAGCTAACTCAACACAGGGCCAGTAGCACAGAGACCTGAGTACTGCCTCAGTATCTAGAGTATCTATTAGCCTGAAACTAATACATTGATTGATGATTTATTACTATAAAGCAAATAATAATGATAATTTTGTATACATACAATATACACTGAGTGTACAAACATTAAGGACACCTGCTCTTTCCATGACATAGACTGACCAGGTGAATCCAGGTGAAAGCTATGATCCCTTATTGATGTCACTTGTTAAATCCACTTCAATCAGTGTAGATGAAGGGGAGGAGACAGGTTAAAGAAGGATTTTTAAGCCTTGAGACAATTGAGACATGGATTGTGTATGTGTGCCATTCAGAGGGTGAATGGGCAAGACAAAATATTTAAGTGCCTTTTAACGGGGTATGCTAGTAGGTGCCACTGGTTTGTCTCAAGAACTGCAACACTGCTGGGTTTTTCACGCTCAACAGTTCCCATGTGTATCAAGAATGGTCCACCACCCTAAGGACATCCAGCCAGTCAACACAGAGATATGAATAGTTGAATAGTGTATCAGCCTAGCGCTCAGCACACAGTCAACACAATGCTGTGTTAGCATAAGCACTAAACACAGTCACAGTCAGCAGCATAAAGACTCTGTCTGAGGCCCCACTCTGTTAGCATTTTGCGCTGAATAGCTTTTAGCGTAGCATTCAACACAACAGTCAACATTGATAGTCAGATTATAGATCGGATGATGCCAGGTGCTCTCCTCTACTTCAACATTAATTTGTTCTATCAGTCTTTGAGCTGTCTTTATACCCTTCATCGATCCATCCATCTCCCCCCTGTGACGTGTTCCCTCGTTCTCTCTGTTACCCTGCCAGTCGACCTGTTTATCAGGTTGTTCTGTCCATCAGTCTGCCCATCTGTCTCTCCATTCAACCAAAACATCCACCTGTTCTATGTCTTGCAATACGTCCCCAAACTAGCCTGCCCTCTCTCACTCTCGCTCGCTCTCTCTCTTTCTCTCTCTCCCTCTCCCTCCCTCCCTCCCTCCCTCCACTTGCATGTGCCTTTCTGGCTGTCTTTATCCTAGGTATATTGATCTGTCTGTACAGTATCTCTGCCTACCTATACACTTGTTTGTGTGCTAGACCAAGAGGCTAGGTCAAGGTATCTAGTGTACATGACCCCAGGCCATAGAAAATGACTCAAATATTACTGCGAACCACAGCAAATCACTCCTGTCCTCTACATTTCTCCCATCCGCTCCACACTGGGTTTATGAGAGAGAGGGAGCTACTGCCAGTAGTATAGTAGGGTAGGGTAAGTACATATGTGGACAGGACACCACCCCAGGTCAGAGAGATATAGGCCATCTCACAGAGTACTGTAACCCACGGTAAACTACATTAAATCACTCCTGCTCCCTCCAGCTCTCCCATCCACATCATTAGAAAAAAGGTTGCTATCTTGAACCTAAAAGGGTTCTCCTATGGGGACAGTCAAAGAACCCTTTTGAAACCATTTTTTTCTAAGAGGGACCGGGATAGGGATAGGAGAGAGAGAGAGAGGAGAGAGAGATTGTTGGAGAGAGAGGAGAGAGAGAGAGAGAGAGAGGAGAGAGAGAGAGAGAGAGAGAGAGAGAATGGTAGTGTCGTACTACGAGGTAAGTACTAACTAAGTACCAGGACATGCTCTTACAGCTTTGAATAATTCAACTCAGGTCTCTTACATGCTGACTGTAACACAGGAGCATGCTGTACAGACTAACACAGGAGCCTGCTGTACAGACTAACACAGGAGCTGCTGTACAGACTAACACAGGAGCATGCTGTACCAGACTAACACAGGAGCCTGCTGTACAGACTAACACAGGAGCCTGCTGTACAGACTAACACAGGAGACTGCTGTACAGACTAACATAGGAGACTGCTGTACAGACTAACACAGGAGCCTGCTGTACGACACAGGGCCCAGGGCTAACACTTTTAGCTTGGCTTTAACACTCCCCCAACCAGAGAACACTACTCACACTTTACCTACTCCGCACACAGTTTCCCTACTCTATTGTAGCGAGCTTAAACCAACACCTAGCGACCTCATCAAGAGGTTCAGATCTCTTGGCATAATGGCTAAGGGTTGACAGTTGCAAGGTCCCAGGTTCAAGCCCCGGTCAGGACTACATGTACACCCTATATCACTAAAACATGTATCTGAACTGTAGCTATCTGGTGCTTTCAGTTTGGTGCTGATGATTGTGCTCATTTCTTTGTAGGTAATGATACAAACAGATAAAACTACAACTTATGGAACAGCGCAGACTGTGAAGAGACACACACACAGCATTCGCTAACACGCGCACTCTACACAC